GATTTAAATATATATAATATTTATTTAATTGGCTTTTAATCACTTGATCATACTAAAATGGGGAATTTACATATCTAGCATATGATTATTATTTATTTATATATCTAACATGATATTTAAATCTTTAAAGTATAGTCTCCACTTTGATGAAATAAATGTATGCAAATGAAAAAAAGTATATTTAACATTTTTTAAAGGTATATTTCACTAATAAAAAGTTTAGCAAAAGTGAAATGTTTATATGATATTAAATAGCTGAGTGTTAGCTTTATAAATACGAAAATTTAGATATTAGATATGTAATATAAGAATTGTGTGATATATAAGTAAATGCCATTTCCTTTTTTTTTTGGAAGTAATAAAGCTAGTTTTAATATAATTTTAATATTAAAATATTACATAATGCTATTAATAATTTTATTAATGCTTTTAGGATATAAAATTTAAAGCTTTTAATTATATAATGCTTTTAAAGATCATAAAGAAGTTAAAAATAATTATATTTTTTGCATAATTTTAATATTAAAATATTATATAAGTAAATATTAAATTTTAAATATTAGACATTATTATTATTGTTTTTGTTGTTGTTGTTGTGTGACGAAAGATCCACAATGATAGAGTAATAAATTAGCGTCTCAGTATGATATAAGATCTAGCACACACACAAATAAAAGAAAATAAGTAGGAGGGGACATTGCACGGGGCTTGACCCAATCAAAGTAATACACTATGTAATTATGAGTACATAAACTTACTCTTATCCTAAATTAGGAAATATATAATTATAAAGTTAATGAACAATTTTATTTCAACAACAATAGTCGTAACGAGTCGTGAAAGCTATAGTCAATTGGTATGGAGGCAGTAGTCTGCCGTGAATGTTATAGATAGTGGTTGTAACTTCAACTTGCCGTAGAACCGTAGAAAGTTATGGTAGAAGCAAGCCATATAGAACATAGGAAGTAGCTTAAGGTGTGTTGATTGGCCACAATAGACATAGTAGAGAACTGTGATAGCGTTCATAGGCCACAAAAACTAGAGTTGGGAGTTGCATGAGCTGTGAGCCACATAAGACGTAGTTGGTCACATGGGGCTTGGGGGTGAGTTGCAATAATATATGTTGGTCGCAGATGCTGATTTTTTGAGTTATATGAGTTGTGAGCTACATATGCCAAAATTGATCATGTGGGTCGTGAGCTGCAATAACGTTTGTAGGTCGTAGATGCTAGAATTGGGTGTTACATGACTTGTGAGTCACGCGAGATATAGTTGGTCACTTAGGTCATAGTGATGAGCTGCAATAATGATCGCAGGTCATGGAGGCCAGAGTTGGGAACTACATTATTTGTGAGTCATGTAGGTTATAGTTGGTCATATAGGTTATAGTTGTGAGCTGCAATAACATTTGTAGGTCATAAAAGACAAGAATTGGGTTTTAAAAGAGTTTTGAGCCACTTAGGTTGCAGTTTATCACTTTAGTCGTGGTGGTGAGCTACAATAATGTTTGTAGCCCGCATATGCCACAATTGAGAGTAGTATGAGTTGTGAGTCACGTAGAACGTAGTGGAGAGTTGCAGTAGTATCAGTTGGCCTCCAAGGCCAAAGTTAGGGGTTGTAGTTGTTGTGAATCACATAGGTTGCAGGTCATAGTAGAGATCTAAAAGGAGAGAACTTCAGGAGTTCGGAGAAGATTATTGTATTCTAAGTATGGTGGTTGTAAATAGTTATTATGAGGAATTACACCATCTTCAGGCAGCATTATTATGCCATCTTCAGAGTGTGACATTATACCGTATTTGGGGCGCGTCGTTGCACTGTCTTCAAGTGTGTCATTTTACTGTCTTCAAGTGTGTGTGTTGGCATCATTTTTTATGTCGAATAAGTATGGTATCCACAAGAATGATACGAGACTTTGTTCAGTCTCCCACAGTCGAAGACACTCATTTGGACATCTTGGTACGTGTCTCGAGCACAGAACCAGAGTCGGTACTGCTTTAGCCCTACTTAGGATAATTCATTGTCGGGCGAAGATGGTTCTGAGATGAATGTGTTTGATGTCCATTTAAGTGTTTATAGACCGCACTCTGTCTATTTGAAGTCTCTCGTAGTCAACGACAATGATAAAAACTCTCTCGAGCATGTTTCAAAAAAATTGGGGTTCAGACCGGCTCACCCACGTAGAAGTCTGTGACTCCTGTCGATACTAAAATCTTCAGTTTGAAATCTCCAAATTGTTTTTTGAGTTACAGGGTCTTACTTTAGTGATATAAACCTTTCCTTACCTTGCGAATTGGTCAAAACCTTCCTACGGACATCCTGAAGCAAAACTAAGTTTCCAACCCCCAACCGACAATTTTTGCCCAATAAGGAACACTCTCAATGTTCATATAGATGTTGAGGAGTACTTTTCCACTCCTAGGTAGTCTCTAGTAATCTCAAGGTCCATAAAATGCCATCCGTGTGAAGTTACACACATGTGAAAAGCAAAGAAACTAAGCCCCTTTGGGGCTAGGCTGCAAAAGCTCCCATTGTTCAGATTGGCACCCCTAAGGGAGGCATCATTCCTTCCTTGGGTGCTTTTGCCCCCATGGTCGATGCTTTTGCGCCCACCCCTCTGGTTTAGCGATTTTTTGTGTATGGGCGTTTGGGCACCACTGTTGGGCGCTCAAGCGCCCAACTTTTTGCATGCGATCTTTCACCAACCAGAGCAAGCTCCGCTTTTACGCTATAATAGGTGCTTTTGTGCCTGATAAGAAAATATTGTAAAGCGAACGGTTTGAGCTTTTGTGCTCACTTTGGCACTCAAGCGCCCAAAATTCAAAACACGTCATTTTTAATCCAACGAATGGTTTTCTTCGCTTAGAGTCCACCGAATAAACCTCCATGTCACCCCATTACCCGGTTCTCAACCAAATAATGGAAGGAAGTGAGGGCTAAGGCATTATTATTTGAGGTAAGTGGCGTCAATCCCATGGGCATTGAAAAAGGCGGATGGTTAAGCAAAAAACATCATGGGCACAGGGGGTCAAACTCCATTTGGCAAGTTTGGTCTGGGAGAGCAGTGAGGATGCCTTAAAGGGATTATTTGAGAGATTTTTGAGAGATTTGAGAGAACTTCTTTCTGATTCTTCTCCCATTTTCCTCTTTCACCTCTTCTCTTTTATTTTCTTCTTCTTCTTCCTCTTTTTTTTTCATTTCTGGTCATCATTTCATCAGAAACAAGAGAGGAAGAGAGGGTTTTCTTGTGTGATGCCTTGTCGAAGTCTCCTTCTTGAGGAGTTCTTTCTTGTTTTTTTGGAGGAGGACCTTCACAGGAGTTCCTGACATCACTAGAACCCCCTCACTGGGAGAGGGTCTAAAGAAGAACCTACGTCAAAGCTTGGAGCTTTGTTGATCTCTCATACCATTAGGAGAGCTTCTTCGAACAGCTTAAACAACATAGATATTGACACTCTGTCAGACATTCATCTTTTTGTAAGAGTTCCAGTGATGTTTACTCATTGCAATCTAAATAAAGTTGATATTCGAAATAAATTTTCTTTTAATTGTTGATACGTCGGTCAACCGCCGCGATGATATAATCCTCTCAACTTTTATATTTTGGTTCCCAGAGTCCCTTGTTCTGGTTGTTAGAGGATTAAGGAATTAGGTTTCATGTGCTTAGAGGAAGTTGATAGATTAGGGATCCTTTCGATGACTTTCACATATGAATCAGAGTGATTTCCTGTTAAAACCTGGCACCAATCTCATTAAAAATGAGATTGTGTCAATTTCACTATTTGTTCAACGATTTCACTTGGTTGGATAAGTGAAATCAAAGGATCGTGCAGATAAAAATGTCCCTTTGGTCATCATCCGTTCGATCACGAAGCGTTCTTGCGAGTAAATTCTTCGCTCTATGTTATGCAAATGGGCAGCAAGGTCACGTTGTTTCGTGCAATATGGTGTTGACACCTTTTCCATTGATTCAACCATATATCCCAAGTGAGATCAATATAAAATGTTTGACTTGCCATCTAAGTGTTTTGGGTTGATTTGTTTACGTGATCGTTTGTGGCATTGTTGCATTTTGTGTGCTTGATAATGTTATCACTTTGATTTGATCGATCACTCCGACATGATTGACCAAACACCTTGAGTTTGATCTACCGTTCTCATTCGATCACCCACTTTGGATTCGATCGGCCGCCCCAGCCCAATCAACTAATTTCTCAAGTTTGATCAACCGCCCCGATTTGATTGCCTTTTATGGGTCTGATTAGCTGTCCCGGCAAGATCGACACATTTTCAGGCTTGATCGTCCACTCCGACTAGATCACCTGATCTATTGGGTTTGATCGACCGCACCGATTTGATCACTCGCTTTGGATATGATTGGTTGTCCCAACTCAATCAACCCATTTCCCGGGCTTGATCAGCCGCCCCGACCCAATTGCCCAATCTTTTGGCTTCAATCGGCTAAACTGTGTTGATCACCCAATCTGGGTCTGATTAACCATCCCAAGTCGATCACTCGCTCTTTCATGTATGATCGATCATCCCTAATCAATAGTCCCATATTTTCGGTTAGACAGGTCATCACGACCCCACCGGGCGACCACTTGCCTGCTAGTATGTTTTTTGCATCATAATATTTATTTGCTTGTGCATGAAAATTATATTTTGACTTGATGTCAATGATATTTCATTGCATGTAAAATATTTTTGCCTTTTATGCTTTATATGTGGCTTGTATGGATGTCTCTTTGAGTATCCATGCTTGCAATGTCTCTTTGAGCTCCCACACGTGTGTATTCCCCACACACGACTTTCTATGCACGGGGATGAACATTTTCACACTTTGAGAGGAGTTGTTTCACTTATAAACAATCTATATCACTCCCTACGACCCCTCTTAGAGTGTTATAGGTATTTTACATTGTGTTAAGCCCGAGTCGCGCTTCCTAGTCATTGAACTCGTGCAAGGCACAATGTGTATTCACCTAAGTGTGTGATTCTCACTTGTAAGGACACATCACTTAGTATGTTTGACACTTAGCATTCTTGCATGATTGTCATTTGTATGTCATTTGTATGCCATATGCTTGACATTTTTGCATGTCATATGTTTGACTGGTTTTATATACATGTTGCATATCTTATATGTTTGCATGTGTGCTCGGTGAGTGACTATCAGGTAAGCTGTAAATCCTTTTTATAGGTATCCTTTTACTCGATACAAACTCATTCGTAGCCGATGTTTGCTTGTCGCATGGTAGTCAGAGTCTCCCGGGCAGGAGTAATTCTTTTCCATAGATAGCATGTTTTACCAGTACTTCTCATTTGCATGTGCATGTTGCATGTAGCATCATTGCATTCATTAACATGGTATGTGATTCACCCTTTTGGGCGTCTGTTGTGATTGCTTTGTGCTTCAATCAAACAATCACAATGTAGACTTCTTGCATGTTTTGTATCTCTGCTCATTTGCCTTGATGGCTTCCCTTGTTAAATCCAAATTGTGATTTAATTTTGTTAAAGTATTAATCTTTCAAAAAATTTACATTTACATTATTCTTGCATCAATTTTTAAAATTTTATTAGAAATTTTTTTAGTATAAGAATTTAATTTGATTACAATTATGTTAATGAAGAATTAATAGACTAAAAATAATCACTTAATTTAAACCAATGTAATTTCCTAAGGCTATTCATTTGGTATGAATTGTACCATTTTAGTTTTTATTTATTTATTTGTATTATTTATATTTTTAATTGAATTTGACCGCATTTAGAAATATGCTGATTTATTATAAAAATAAAAAATTAAAGTACATGAAATATTTAGCATATTATCAGGTCATCATATCCTACTTTCCAAATCAATTATTAGATCAAATGCTTATAGATTTTAGGAAGATTTACATACATACCACACAATTCACATGCATTTACACATCTAACACCCAAATTTTAATTATCACATAAATGCCCCAAAATCAACACACAAATTATGATATAAAACCCCACCAGAAAAAAAGATATAAAACCATCAAAATATTTAAATTTGCATACATTTGAACATGATACAACAACAGGGTTCAAAATCTAAAATACAACTTGTTGTGGTTCATCACAAAGATGAGAGACTTAACACACTACATTGCATTATAGCAGTGTCCATAACTTGATGAAAACCATATAAAACCAAATATTATACATAAAATTTGATTTTAGACAACTTTATTTTATTTATATGATTGATGCTTGAAACTTTATAGATATAATAATATACCTGAAATAAAATGTTTACTTTTGAGCTTGAAATTTTCTTCAGTGTTTAAGCAGCCAAGCTTTTGGAAGCAATCTCATAAACGTTTTCTGATAAGCCATTAGCAGACATTATCTTCTCCAGCTGTGCCTGCAATTCATGTTAAACAACTCTTATTAGATTATAGATAAAGAAATGATTTTTTTTAAATTTTTTTGGAGGGAAAATTTACATATATAACATAGATAGCACACAATTCTTGCATAATCATCTAACACCAAAAATTGATATTTATACTTATAACACTTTGGTATTGACCCATAAAGTTGACACAAATTAAAGCTCATCTCCCTAATCCCATAAGAAAAAAATTCACAAAATTACAAAGTGAAGCACTTAAGATTGGGTGGTTCATTCTCTTCACATACAAAACAATAATGGTAACAACATACATATGGATGTGTACACACATATGGATGTGTGCACACGAGCGCGTGCGGCCACATACGCGCCCACACACACACGCGCGCGCGCACACACCATATATATGCTTTTAAGAAAACCCAAATAAATATATTGACTTTGCCGAGAACAACATGAAGTATGCAAGCTTGACGAATGAGAATTTGAAGGACTAGTTTATTGTCATTATAGTTTTATGTCGGTATCTAATTTTTATTTTTTACTTTAAATATTGTTATCAATTGAACTCCGGTGTTTAAGTACAAATATGGAAGGTCTTAATTGACATTTTATAGTTTTCTACGCAAATTTTTCAAGAAAACTTAAAAACTAAATAAAAATTGAACACCCCAACTAAACAAGCATCCATCAATGAAGCTCGCTTTTAAAACTTCGATCACTTCCAATCAATCACTATAGGCCTTACGGCGCGGCGAATGTTACTAAAACATCGTTCATTCCATCTTGCCACATTACTAATTTTCAAATACATGAATTGAAAATTAAATAATAAACAAAAATTCAATTCAGACCAAAAAAAAAAATTCAGCAGAAATAGCCCTCTAAATGATATTTACCTTAGCCAGATGTTGCCTGCCCTCATCAAAACGCCTCCACCTCGAGAAGGCCGAAACCATGCGAGATGAAACCTGAGTTCAAAACAAGCAAAAGAAAAATTAAAAAAAAACAGATCTTTATCTAAAATTCTAGCAATATTCTATGGCATCATTTAAACAACATTGCACCTGAGGATTCAATTTATCCAGTTGCAACACAATGTCCCCCAAAAATTTGTAACCAGAGCCATCTTTTGCATGAAAATTAACAGGAGATCCACAAAATCCACCAATTAAAGAGTAAACCTGAAGCAGAAAATATGAAAAGCAAAGAATGGATTTATGTCAGATTTTATACAAAAAGACTAATTAAATGTTGACCAAAACCCAAATGATTATACTATGTACACAATAGATGGAAGGATATCTTAAAAGTGCTCTAGCCCCCCATGAATATTTACAGTGTCATTTTAGTCCCAGAGTATAAAAGTGTCATTAGTCCCCAAACTCATTTAATATGAGCTGAAGTGATCCCAAAAAAGAGACTAGTTTAGCCCGCATTAAAATGGTATGGGATTAAGTTGAAACTGTCATAGATTTTGAAATTAAAATGATCCCTGACAAAGAGCAAGAAGACCATTTTGAAATTTTTCTCGATATCTTACCGACCTTGTTAGGATTTTGCAGGTCGAATGCAGGATGACTCAACAGATTCTGGACATTAAGCACATTTCCAGGTATGTCAGACATAGCTTGAAGAGCGAACCATTTGTTCACTACCTGGTAATATGAGCAGAAAGTGTTACAGATTGAATTCTTAGTTTTAACTTCGTATGAACACAAACACGACATACGAAGCAGGGGAGGAAGAAAATTTGCATTCAAGTATCAAAATAGTCTCCTGATTATTTACATGGGGGACCATTTTAGTCCCAGAGTTTACAAAAGTGTTAAATTAGTCATCAAACCCTCTTAATATAGACTGAAATAGTCCCCTCGAAAGACTATTTTAGCCTCTTTTAAAATAATCTGACGACTAAATTGACCTTCATAGACTCCGAAACTAAAATGAACCCCTACAAAGTCAAGAGACAATTTTGACACTTTTCTTATTTTCATTTAAAATGCAACCCAAAAAATCTTACCAAGTAGTCATGAGACCACTTCTTATAAAAATCAGCAAGAACATCATCACGGACTTGACCGGGATTTTTGGCAATGGCCATCAAAGCTGCAAATTGCTCTGTCATGTTTGTGGCTGTATTATACTCGTGCACTAAAAGGTCGGTGAGCTCCAAATCATTCAATGTTGCGAGGTAAACTGTACAAGGAAAATGGATGTGGAGTGACCAAGTTTAATATACTACATATGAATTCTTCACTTAAATGTTTTAACTATATAATGCTAAAGAGCAATACTGAGAGCGGTGTTCTTTAAAGCGCGTCTCGCCATATTCTCATGGTTGAAAACAAAAGCCTCTGAGCTTTTGTTATGTTCGACCTGTCGAAAAATATAGTTTTACTTCAAAATATCAATGAAAAAAAGTTCAAAATAATAGTTGAACAAAGAAGTCAATAAGTAGCGGTGGAACCAGAAGGTGGCATTAAACTCTTTAAAATAATATAATACACAAAAAATTTTGCCCCTCAAACTTAAATACTTGATAATAAATTAATATTGACTAAATTTTTATTTTCAAAATAATTATTATAATAATTTAAACATTTTTTGAAGGAGATAAAGCTTTAAATTTAAATACTCATCACCTTTTAATTTTTTATTTTGTCACCACTCTGCTTGAGAAATAATGAAATACAAAGGAATCACCAAAAAGCTAATTGTGAAGTGCAGTATCACCTCAACCAACATAAAATGAACTTCCATGAAAATAAGAATCCACTCCTAAGAGGCACCAATAATGCAAAATAATATGCCTATATATATATATATATATGTATATATATATATATATATATATATATATAGTATATAAATATAAATAGATAGATAGATGGATGAATAGATAGGCCGCGAAATTAATAGAGTAACTTTTATAAAAATTTTATACCTATATTTATTTTAGTAAATAGACAAATATAGTGTTAAATAAACAAATAGCCATGCTAATCATCAACAAAATGGTTATTTGCTAATCTATGAACAAAACTGAAGCAAAAGCAAAGTAGTAATCTTTCTATGTATATTCTACTAAATATCACAAAGATACATCTACATAAATATTTTCTAGTAAACCGAAAATGAGTTAAAAAAGAAAAAAACTTACAGTAAACAAAAACTCTTTTTTAAGCTGAAGTGCGAGCTGTTTCCTAATAAAAGAGCGAACTGCATGAACAGCATCGGGATCTGCAACTTCCATCAAATCCATAATCTCCCCTTCACCAGGTAAAGTAATTGCCTTGGAAATAAATTCCTAATTCAAAAACAAAACAAGGATAAACTTCATCAGTATGTTTAACCGAATAATTTACAATAATTCAAACTGAGAAAGAAAAGGAAAATTATGAAATCAATACTTTATCCAAATTAGAATCACATAGTATGCTTTTGATTCCATCCACAAACTTTGGATTCAGAGCCAAAGATTTATTCTGCTGAAAATCAGCTACAAGCCTGAGCATCAGTTTCCTTGCTAGAATTTGGCCAGCTTCCCACCTGAAATATGAATGAAAATTAAAATTATAGTTGAAGTTATAAATAAGATAGTTCAAAAAATTAAGGTTGAAAGGAGGAGATATATTTTGTGCATGCCTGTTGAAATCATCAGACTCGTGTGCGAGTAAGAAAAATAGGTCGCTATCTGTGAGATCGGAATCGAGACGAATAGGAGCGCTGTAACCACGAAGTAGCGAAGGAATTGGCCTCTCGAATACATCGGAAAATATGAACTCTTCTTCCTTCTGCAAGATAAATGTAAAGGTGAGAAAATGATTGACAGGTTATCACTGCAGGTAGTGCGAGCATTCATGAAAATAAAATAAAATAAAAGAGAAATTTGCTCTTACTGATCAAAATTCTCTCAATTATGATTTCAAGTGTCTTAATTTAGAAGAATTGCGCTCTACCAGCCATAGGACACTGTTTTAAGCCATCTTGAAAAGACATAGTTACTGACATTAAAAACTAGACAGACATACCGCATATATTTCACTCATAACTTCCCCAGGAAAGAAAACAACCAGCACCCAATGTAAGGAACAGAGCAAGAAAATAGAGATCACAACACACAGAGAGAGAGAGAGAGAGAGAGAGAGGAGGGGCTTGCCATCCACCACAAATCAAAATTACAAACTTCTTATAAACTAATAAACAACAGAAGATTATCCTTAGCGGTTAAACTAACTAGCACCAGCTGTGGTATCTTCAACAAAATTAATTGAATGACTCTATAGATGGAGATGGACTATCAGAATAAAATAAAAAAAAATTATAAACAAAGCCCATGAAAAGGCAATACCATAATATTCTAGCAGAGAATTCAGGTGTAAATATAAATGAAATGCTTGTTTTTAGAGTTGCTCAGATTATTGTAGGGTGTAAATAATTACCTTTGTGACCCTTAGCACTGTTGTGAAGACTGGTTGTCCATTGTTAGAAACCGTTTGAAGCACTCCATCATGAGAAACAGTGGAGAGCGGCAAGTCCCTCCCATTTGAATCCAGAAGTCCTACGGCAATGGGTATAAACATAGGTTCTTTCAGAGGTTGGCCCGGTGTAGCCGGAACCTCTTGGCTGGCAATAAACACAATATCGTTAGCTCTCTAGTTCTATGTGACGTACTAGAATGTAAAAAGGAGTAAAGTGTCAAAATGGTCAAATGACTCTTAGTAGAGATCTATTTTAATGTCAAAGTCTAAAATAATGACAATTAAGTCCTTATACTCTTTTAATGATTTAATGAGGGTTAAAATAGTCCTCCATATGGACTATTTTAGACCATATTTAAAGAGTCTGGGGACTAATTTGACACTTTTATGGACAATGGGACTAAAATGATCCCATTTAAATTGTTAGGGGACTATTTTGGCAATTTACTCAATGTAAAAGCATAACTAGAATGACTAGAAAATGTAAAGAGTTGCATAAGAGTTAGACCACAATTGTCCTACATGCGCCAACCAATTCGCCCCATTGCTAAGACATGTCCTTCGGTGAAGAAAGACAATGATTCCTCTTCAAGTTGATTAAAAAGCCATTTTTTGCATGTTACCAAGTCATGACAAATTAGCAGAAAGAATTAAAATTCCAATCCTAAATTTAGGCAGCTCAGAGAGTTCTCAAAAGGAATTTACAAATAGAATGTTATAACTTTGAGAGAGGATGAAAGGATTTAAGTGTAGAGAAAGTGTAAATAAGTTTGTAATGACTAATGATTTTCAAAGATTTTATTGAATATTTATAGAAGATAGGATGATAATTCAAAGTATAAAAGATTTCCAAGAAATTTTTAATAGTCAACCAACAATATAGCCATTACACCACAAATTTAAGAAAATTATGATCCCTTAGCAAGCATGAATATGATCAAAGATCACATGCACTATAATTTGCGTTTGGTATGTTGGATAATAATATATATAAAATATATTGTAAATACAGTTAGATTTCAATAGATTTATTTCAGTGAAATTTGTAGCCAATAAGAATGATTCTTTTGAAAAATATATATGTTTTTCAAAGGGGATTCAAAAAAAGTTTTGGTTATATGATTTACCATCATTCATAGTGACCACCAAGGAGTGGTTGAAAATTAAAATTTTGATGATTTTGCAAGTTGAATTGAATGAAACATGATTCATTAGTGACTAGGATTCCACAATATAATGGGGAGTCGAAAGAAAGAATAGGATTATTGAAGAGAAAATACGTTTGATGTTAATGAATATAGGTTACATAAATATATTTAATCAAGGAAATTAATACTTGTAATGTGATTAATAAAGTTAATAATATACTAATAACTGAGAGTACCTCTCATGAATTATAAAAGGAAAGAAAGCGTATAGATGCTTTATACTTAATAATGGAAGGCGTGTCTTGAAAAAAATTGACTAAAATGGGTGAACTATTTTGTTGAGCAATTCATTGTCTAGAAAAGCATCTAAAGTTTTCAACAAGGATTTCATCATTGTAGAGGAATCTAAGAGTATAAATTTTAATAACTCTGAATTAGAAAATAACGCAAAAGGAAAAATATAATAAGATGGATAAAGCCAATTTAAAAACCTTAAAATCAAAGCAAAAGAAAATGAATGACATGCCAAATTAATCTAAAAAGTATGCATAATTTAATAATTAATCCTTTGAAAGTGGACAAAGGTAATGAAGACCGTGATGCAATGTAATTGTTACTAAAAATACATGATGCATGAGCAAACGTTTTTGCAGCAAATGTGATTTTCAGGACATCATGTCCTCGCCAATCTCTGATTCCAACACAAGTAGTTATCATAGCGACAAAACAAACGATAATGACACGAATTTCCAGCTCCTAAGGAACAAGTATACAAAGCATTCCAACAACAACTGATAAAATTAGACTTAAACCAGTATTAGGGAAATTTACATTCGCAGCACACAATTCTTATGTATTATTTACATATCTCACACCTGTATTTACATATCTCACACCTAAACTTCCATATTTTCATATACATCACTTCAGTGCTTTAAACTTATACATGAAATGGTGTATTTCACTTTTAAAATGTGATAATAGAGCTATTTTTCATGTGATATTAAATATTTAAGTGCTTTCTGTGTAAATATGAAAATTTTGGTGTGAGATATGTAAATACATAAGAAATGTGTGACATTACATATGCATCTTACCAGAACTTCAAAGAATATGTTCTGGCATCAGGATTGTAAGATGACACGACTCTAACTTGAGGAGTGCCTGCTTGTGAGTACCTGAATTTTGTACATTTAGTTAAATTATTGTCTGAAACTCGAAATAAGTAAGCTGAGATTTTGGTGAAAGCACAATTTACCATAATAAGAAATTTGAAAAATCAGCATCATTTGCATCTCTCATAGAAGCAAAAAAGTCTTCGCATGTAACTGCTTGGCCATCATGCCTTTCGAAATAAAGATCCATGCCCTGTTAAGTGCATGTAACTAAAAAAAATGAGATATAATAATGAAAACTTTTCCATCAATGCCAAAAAGGAGTAGAATTACAAATATACCCGTGCGACCAACAACAGTAAATTCTTACACTACAGGAAAACTATTAATTTAGTTCCAGAGATTTGTACAAAATTAAAAAGTTAGTGGCGAAATTGAGGCTACAATTTGTAAAGATAGATTATTGCGCCAACCACTGTATGCACAAGAGACAAAATGCATATTTTATAGTGCTGATAGATTCAAACCAAAGGGGAGAAAAAGTAAAAACCAGAAAAATATTTCTTACAAATGTCTCTTTTATTTACATGACTCAAACAACTTTTTGCTTCTATGCGTACAACTCCCCACATGACAAGGCGTAATGTCGGATCTGGTAATACTAATCCAATGACTTCAATCGCAATTATCTGGATTTTGCAGCAGAACCACACAACATTAGATTTAACTTATGTGTGGATGGGTTCACACCTTACAGTCATACTGCAACACCCTATTCTTGTTGACCAGTTATTATGCCATATAATTTGCCCCTCAATATGTATATGGTTGTGTTTAGCTTATTTCTAACGTTGATCATACCATGTCCACATAGCCTAAAAGTCAAATTGACGATGAGCTATAGGTATTGTGGGAAATCGGTGTGTTGGCTTATGATATTGCAACTAAACAAAACTTTTACCTCGGAGCTACTCTTATATGGATGATCAATGATTTTCCTATTTATGAGATGCTATCTGGTTAGAGTACAGCCAGAAAATTGGCATGTCCCTACTGCATGGACATGTCTAAAACATTCACTTTAAAGTATGTAAGAAAAAATTTATGGTTTGATTGTCACCGAAGGTTCTTAGTAAGTGATCACCAATTCCAAAGAAATAAAGATGTATTTTTCAGAAATAGAGTTGAAAGATCAAGTCCACCCTCAAGGATTAGTGGAAGTGAAATACTACAGATGATTAGTGAAGTTCTGAATATCACTGAGAGGCCGGAATTAGCCTCAAGTCGTCTTCCAGATTATGACATTACATATAATTGGATGAAACGAAATAGTTTGTGGGATCTTCCATATTAGAAAAGCAATCTGGTTAGGCATAATCCGGATGTTATGCAAATTGAGACTTTTTTTTTATAATATATTAAATACTACTCTTGATATCAAGAGAAAAACAAAGGACAATGTCAAAGCAAGAATGAATCTGAAAGAGTATTGCAAGAGGAGAGGGTGAGAGTTGCAAGAGACAAATGTCGATAAAGTAATAAAGCCAAAAGCTATATATTGTCTCACATCGGATCAACGAAAAATAATTTTTGAGTGGTTGCATTCCTTGAAGCTTTCAAGTGGTTGTGCCTCTAACATAGGCCGAAGTGTTGATTTGGTGGTAGGGGAAAATATTATCCGACCACTCTTTTTGTGTCAATATAAGTTTAAGAAAATTAATTCTATTAATATGTCAATTAATATTTGAATTTTGCTATGGAGCTTGATAGAGAGCCATCCACCATGGAGTAGCACGCCCTTACACATCGGTGCACGGGCACACAATAGTGGTTATCCAACCACTCTCGTTGTGTCAATATAAGTTTAAAAAATTTAATTCTATTAATATGTTTAAAAATGTCAATTAATATTTTAATTTTGTTATGCAGGAGTACAAGCAGCTCCGGGAGAAACAGAGGGAGATGACCAGCCATACCTCACCGTTCGTCAACAGTGGTAGACTAGCAGAGATAGCCAGTTTACCGCTGCACATTCGAATTTTGAGTGTGGATGCAGGCTATGAGAAGGAAAAAAGGGGAGAGAGTACGACCTCAGAGCAAAGGGGATGGCGTTTGAGGCCGAGCTTTCCCGAGCAGCTATGGGTGACCCTAGCTCGTTACAGGCTTAACATGAGGAGCTTGTCAGGTGTGTAACGATGATGAATGAAGAGCTCATACAGGTGCGCGAAGGCTAGCAGCTCGTTGCAGATAGTCTAGCACGCTGACGAAGAGTTTTGATCGCCAGAGCAAGCTACACATGCATCCGGTTGAGGAGGAGCAGGATGATGATGATGAATATTAGGTTTTTTTTCTGTGTTTGATGATGTTTTCCCGGCGCATGGGCTGACTTTATGTTGTTTTCATTTCTGTATTGTATGAACTTTCAGTTTCTTGTGTTGTACATCCTGAGCACTTTTATCTGATTATATTTAATCTGATCTGGTATGATTATGTGTATGTAGGAGATTTCTTTTATGAGTTGTGATGATATATAAATATCATATTATATTGATTGTGTTTGTTATGTGCATGTATGTGAAAATTTAATTATTTTGTTCTTTTTTTTGTTTCTTACAGGTTAACGCCGGAAAATTTCGACACTAAAACCCACAATCAGCCAACGATATAAGCCGCAGCTAAAACGATGCAATAGCGTCAAAAAAGTCTGACGTTGATTAGTGTTGAATATGACCGACACTAATTAGAGTCGGCCCTGTTTGATGTTAATCAGTGGCGAAAATTTTTGATGCTATTGTGTCATTTGCTTGTTTGATGGTATTTTTTGCGATGACTGTTTTTTATGCTAATTCAGACGCAAATTAAAATCCGACAGTAATGCCGATGCAAAATAAATTAGTGACGCCCATTTGAACATTATAAAAAAGGACGCTATTTCGATGCTAATCTGAATTAATGTTAGAAATGTCCGACGCTACTCGGGCTTTTTTCTGTAGTGTAAAAAACAAGTTGAACTTTTAACTTGAAGCACACACTCTTAACAAAGAAAAAAAAAATTAACAAACTAATCCTTTCTTACTTTTCTGAAACCATAGCTCCCAAGCAAAGTTTTGTACATTCTAACAACTTCAGCGCCCTGTTATTAAGAACATAAATATTCGTCAGAATTATAAGAAAATGCCATATTTCATAAATATGTAATAGAAGTTGAATTCTAACCTTCTCATACACCTGCAAGTGGGACATCAAACCAGCGAAGCATAAAAACGTACCATGCATTATAGCAACCAAAAAAAATATTACAATAAGATCTCATCATAAATTTAACATAGAAAAAAAGGAAGCAAAAAAGTACCGTGACTGCCAATTGCAGTAGCATAGACCACACAGAGACATGCCATCCAATTTCAAACAATCAGAAGAGATAGAATGAGTGTGTCAAAAGGGAGCAATCACATGCATAGGACTTGAAACATGGCTATTTACAAAACTAGCATCCTCTTTCATTCATTTTTCAAAGTCTCACACAAATATCAAAATTCATAATAAAACCCCAACCAATGTTTTGCATTTTTAACAAATTCCTACTGGCTCGATCGTGGCACGTGTAATTGCAACGGCTCAATAGTTCAAGCAATCATATAGGATCTAGTTTTGAAATTAGCAATGTTTAAAGTGTTGTATGTAATTATCTCTCAAAGTAAAAGACGTGAAAATTGAACAGAATCCATACCAGTATAAAAGTTGTCCATCTGTCAGAAAAAATTAGCACATCATCAGACCTACAATCCTTTAAATGAAGGAATTGAGAAAAATATGAAACTAGTGAAAATAATTCCTGGGATTTTAAATTGACTACCTTTATATAGGAATGAGGTCGAACAGGGTGAGCCATAGGACCAGCATCCTGTCAAATATGCAAATCCCAATATTAAAAGGTAGTATTTTACCAATTCATAAAACAAAAACTCAGTTACTAAGATTAGAGGAAAAAGAATTAATATTAGAGTGGGGGACCGGACCAAAAAGCTTAATTTAACACCATAAATGTAGTAAGACACCTGCATTTTTAATATTTAGCAAGAGCAAATTCATTCCAACATGAAAAGAAATAAAAGAGCAAAAAACTACAGGTGCAATTCTTTGGGGGGGATAAAAAATGTATTCTTAGGATTTATATGATTATTTCAACAAAGAGGTTATTAGTAATTTTTTTCTTATTATATCAATTGTATGGGTTACATTTAGGGCTGTGAAAAAAGCTCGTTGTTCGCGAACAGCTCGTGTTCAGTTCGTTAAGTAGCTCGTGTTCGGCTCGTTCGTTAAGTAAACGAGTCGAACACGACCAAGCTTTAAAATTTTTAAAGCTCGAATTATAAACGAGCCGAATACGAACAACTCTTTGTTCGCTAGTGTTCGGCTCGTTTTAGCTCAAAATAAAAAAATTATATAATTATTTATATAATAATTTATTACATATATTATATATATTTATATCTATGTTTAAAACGTAACTGTTCGTGCGGTAATGTGGTCATGCGTCTTCTTTTGCATACATTTGATCCAGATTCGAATCAAACACTCTACATCTATTTTTGAACACGAACACAAATATTTAAATCGAGTCGAACACGAACACACTGTTCACGAGCCGATTTCAAACACGAACAATTTCGAACGAGCCAAACACGAGCCAAGCTCGAGTTTGCCCACGCTCGGCTCATTTACAACCCTAGTTACATTAGCAAGAGAAAATTGAACAATTTTGCTATTCTTAATAAAAATTTTAATACATCAGAGGGTGTAATTTTTTAGATTGAACTCCCAACTTAGAATAGACTTTAACTAAAACTAAATTTAACAGCGTTTGAATAATTAGAAAAGAGAAAATTTTATCTATGATTTTTAATTTAATCTAATTGATTCTAAAGCAAAAATCTTTAAATGTTAATTGCTATGAGTATTTGAGAAACATATGATTAGGGTGGTCAAAAAAGCTCATTATTCAAGAACAGCTCGTGTTCGGCTCATTTTAGCTCGAAATAAAAAAAAACGTATAATTATTTATATAATAATATATTATATATATTTATATCTAAGTTTAAATCATAACAACTCATGTGGTAATGTGTTTCTGTGCATTCTTTTGCATAAATTTGGTCCAGCTTCGAATCCATCAATCTACATCTATTTTTTCCAATTAATTTTAATGAGTTAATTTCAAGCCGAACATGACCAAGAATATTTAAATCGAGCCGAACACGAACACACTGTTCACGAGTCAATTTCAAACACGAGCCGATTTCAAACGCTCGTTTATAGCCCTACATATGATAGTGATACTATAATAATAAATTTGTTGCAGTGCAAGGCATAAGGATTAGTCTCCTACTAAATAGTTTTATTAACTTTTAGATTTCTTTTCCTTTATTTTTTTCAGATTTTCCATTTAACCTTATCTGGAAAAAAGTTTTTCAAAAAATCAGTGGACAATTTTGTATTTAGAAATCTTTTTTTTAATCAATTGAAGGAATAATGTTGCTTTCTAAAATATATTTAGGTTCCATGGAATCTTCACTTTACTACTGCACCAAAATCAATAAAAAATATTGAAACCATATATTGATTTTCAAAATTCACATATTATCATTAGCATCAAGATTATAAAAACTGGACCAGACATTGAACCGATAAAAGGGGTGGTTCAAGGTTCAAAGGTTGAATGATAGGAGCTCCTTAAATAAAAAGGAACCCTCATTAATTCCTACTAGCATCATTTAAAGATCATTAGATGCTAGCAGGAATTAACTTTCTTTGTCCAACAGGAATTTTAAAATTTAAAATTTAAATCAAAATTAATACAAACATTTAATAAATGAAAAAGGACATTTTATTTAAAATTTATTATTTATATTAATTAACAAAGAATACAATAATTATAAAGGTTTATCACATGTACATTAGATTTGAAATTAAATAGATTAAATAAATATGCTTTGCACCATCTGAATAACAAAAAATTTCTTCAAATTCAAAACAAAAAAAATTAAAAACTAAAGACTAAGAGATCATTTTTTTAAAATGGAGCTCTCTCCTTGCTTGTAGCACTGAAAAGTTTCAAATGAAAATTTTTCTCTTATTATATTTATGGCTTAGTACATAGTGCAAATAGAAATCCCTTAATGTCGCTTACAGTGATCTTGGCAACAAGAGTTATAAATATACAATTTCGCTTACAAAATAGCTTTATAAATATACATTAAAAATTACAAACATAAAGCATAAAATGTAAATATAGAAATTTTATTTCATATTTTCTTCATATCAAAAGTCAAATATGTCATATCAAAAGTCAAATATGTCAACAAAGGAAAGTAAATTCTCTAAAATGATTATAAGAATGATATCTTCAAAATCTAATGCTTCTTAAAAATTATTTAAATAGTTATACCAAAGTTTGAGTGATTACTATGCATTGGCTCCATTTTGAAATTCCTAGATAAGAAGTTTTCCCCCCTCTAAATTTTTTGAAGCACACAAAAATAAATAAGCCACCATTTGAAAATGGATTGTCATCCACATTTTTATTCTCTCTCACATCAACTTTCTTTTATATAGAGAGATATATAAATATAGTATTAATCCTATATATGGGGAACTGATGCCATGTTTTTATATATCATAAGTCAATTGTCAACAGGGCAAAAATATTTGAAAAGATTATAATAATATCTTTCAAATTTATATTCGTTCTATTAAAAATGATTTTAAAAGACTTTATTACTTCCACCACACCTATTCTTAGCCTCCATTTTTAAATTTTTTATAAGAATATATTCCATTTTTAAATTTTTTATAAGAATATATCTTTCATGTTAATGTTAAGAAACCATTTCAAATGGAAACTTCTCGCAACCCATCAACTTTTTCAAATGTATGCAAGAACATATTAAATGTATGTATGAAAACTTTATTTTATACTTTTGATATAAAAAAAATCATATCTTTCAATAAATATAGAATATAAATAAAAGACTATAATAATGATCAATTCAAATTCTAGTATTTTAAAAATGATTTAAAAGGATTTTCTTACTTCTAAACATTTTGAGTGGCCATTGTTTATGTAATACAACCAGCATTGCCAACGTTAAGAATGTGAAATAAAGCATGATTAATTAGCTTAATTCATTTTGGTTAATAAACTAATCCCATAATTAATTTTAATAATTATATGAAAATTAACAAAAAAAAATGTAAATAATTAAAGGGTTCATATTTTTCTCTTTCAATTGAGCAAACCAAAACAAAACCTTAAACCTAGAATCACAGTTTTATTTTGTGATGTACAAAATTTTTTAAGATAACTAATTATAGAGTATGGAGCAATTAGCATGCTTAAGAATCTATGTTTCTATAAAAATTGAGATTAAGATAAGATTCCATAGAAAATTATTATATAGTATTAATGAAGTCATATTGTATAATAATTTTAGCTAGACAATTTGAAACATTCAAATTGACAAAATTAAGTTTATAGTTATTTAGAAAATATCACTGATAAAAACTTACTAGCAATTTAAATAAATGAGTATTGATGATGTGTAATTTAATCCACGTGTATTTATCTCTTATATATTACAACAAAAATATTATCAAAATATGGCTTATTTAAAAGATGCGTAAGATATCTAGGTATTGAAATCAACTTAAGTTAGACAAAGCGAAGCTAAACTTGTAAAAAGAGATAAAAAAAAGATATACTTCACTTTATATGCATATAAGTGAGAAAAAAAGTTAAAATGACCCTTAGGCTATTTACGAGAGGTTGTTTTGGTCTCACACTATATAATGTGTCTAATTTATCCCCTCCACTTCACACATATCGGATACAAAATAGTAAATTGGATCAAATCTGATCTAAAATAATCTAATCGTGGGATTATTTTGAATCATGTTTAAGAAGTCAAGCGCACAAAGTAAAAAAATTATATAGTTGAAACTAAATAACTCTCAATAAATAGTCCAAGAATCATTTTGACATTGTTATCATATATAATTTTAGTTATAAGGTTATGTGCTTCCTTATGTAGAGATTAATGGTATATTAAACTAGAAAGCATTTAAAAAAATTAGTCTTAATGTTATAAAAAGTAATCTTCAAACAATAAACTTCATATAGATTTAACTAATGGAGTGGTTGAAATTAAGCATAGCAATAAATCCATGCAAAGATGGAAGTTCCATAGTGATGCAAAGGATAAAGCTAAGAATCTAAATTAATATGTGGGTAAACTCAAATTCTACACCAAAGAAAAATTCTTTTCTTCTAAGCCTAATGCATTCAGCATGATATAAGATTCATGTTTCTTAAACGCATGGATAATGTTATTATGACAAGATTTTTATCCTTGTTTGCATTCAAAATGATCATTTATATTGTTATCTATTAATACAAGATTTTGAATTTGTAAGATGAGATTTCTTCCCTCACTTTATAATTTGTTAACCCCAAACAAAACACAATCTTAAAATAGAATATTCTTATAGCCCATACATTTAATTTCATTTTCTCTTTCATTTACTTCTCAAAAAAATTGAATAATCATTCAGAAAACCACAGAATAGCTTTTGATAATTTTTTTTTTTTTTTTACATTCCATACATAGATTTAGCGGAGAAAACATGCGCACTTAAAAATAACACTAACCTGAGGAAATTGGTAGCTCCGGAGTTTTGAAACATCAGCTATACGCTTAACGGTGCGGTTACCCATGTCTGACGAAAACTCCTATAGAATAATGCAATTTATGACTCAATACATCAAAATTGTGAAACAAAATACAAACGAAAGGTCAATAAAATGAAGAGGTTATAACCTGATCCCTGAAGACCGTGAGCCCTTCTTTAAGACTCAACTGAAACCAGTCGCGGCAAGTCACTCTAAGATAAAACGGTCCAAATTTCAAAAAAGCTTCATGCTTTTTATGTGTACCCACACTCGCATAAATATGCAAGCATAGTCTTTCATGTAAAGTGCCGAAACAGTCCCTTGATTGTTTCATGTGGCCATTTTTGTCCCAAAATATAAGTATATAAAAGTGTCAAATTTGTCCCTAGACTCTTTGAATTGAGGCTGAAAAAGTCCTCCATGAAGATTATTTCAGATATTAAAAGCGTCTGAGGACTAAACTGACACTTCTATAGACTATGAGACTAAAATGATCCCCAACAAAGAGTCGGGGGACTATTTTGATACTTTCCTCCTTTTATGTACAAACATAACTCAGATATTAAATAGAAATATAAGACTTCAAAGAGATTTTATCCATATAGAAAATCAGCAAATTCACACAAATAAAAGGAATCCACAATAAGCAACATCATGCATCAACATTAGCATTCTGACAAAAAAAATAAATAAGAATAAATAATAAAGCATCAATAGGAAAATAAAAAGAGGCATGTCCGTTCATACCACCCAATTCCTAAGTATTTACATATCTAATACCTAAAGTTATTGTTTTTACATTTCTACCACCCAAATCTTTCATATCACATAAAAATACCCCTATTTTAACTTTTAAAAAGTGTGGTGTGCACATACTCATGCTTAGGTAAAATGACATATATGTAATAATTGAACTTTAGGTGTTAGATATGTAAATACATAGGATTTCAAAAGCATTATCAAAATAAAGCATTATGAAGATCTCAAAAGCTCATTAAGAAGAAAATACCTGTTGCCAGTCCAGTTATGAAAATACTGCATATAAATATGAAAAAAAATCAAGAAATAGACCAAATGAGATGAGATCACAAATACATAACATTGATAGACAAAGCTTACCTCATGACCAATTACACCCAAAATTGCAGCATAGTCTCCATCAGAAGCAGTTTCAGGAGATGCCAAAACAAGCTTAGAATTGAAAATCTATGATGCACATTTTTATGGATTTCAGACAAGTCACCCAAAAGAGAACAAGAATAAATGTTTGGAATTTTCAAAATTCAAATGACTTGAGAGATGCACAAAAGTTTACATTAAGGCTCTTGTTCTCCATGGCACCCCTGAAAATATACAAATCAATTCCATTAAGGCAAAAGAGAAAAATGTCACAATAGTCCCAAAGTCTATAAAAGGGCCAATTTAGTCGCCAAACTCTTTCAATATGAGCTGAAATAATTGTCATAGAGCACTATTTAAGCGCCAATTTAAAGAGTTTAGGGGACTAATTTGGCACTTTTTATTCTGGGACTTGAATGACCTCATCCCAATAGTAGGGGTACTATTTTCGCACATTACTCGTTGGAAAAATCAAGTAATTGCAAAACGTTTTATTAAAAAAAAAAACAGCAAAGTTTTAAAAAATTAGCAAATATGAAAAGCTCATGCACGTTCAGCTTACATGTTAAAATCAGGAACAGCCACAATATTGAATAAATCTAGATCATATTCTAGGCCAAAAACCTGTTATAATAAATGAATAATTCACTTGTGATGATAACCACAGTAGATAACTCGTGTGAAGATACAAAGAAACGAGAACACTCACTTCCTCATCCCATTTCATAGCTGCCTTAAGAGAATACATAGCATGGGCCGTCTTCGGGACATCGTGTGGTGGTGTCCAGATTCTCAAAAACACAGTTCTTCCAGATTTTGTTACAAATGTATCATCTCTGCTTTCTAATTGTCCAGCAACCAGCGCGAATAAGTAACATGGCTTTTTAAAAGGATCCTCCCAGACTACATAGTGCCTCCCACCCTTCAAGTTTATGAGAAATTATATAACACAAGTAGTCCACTATCTTAAAAAAAACAATGTAAAGGCACCAAAGGAAAAAAGTGGCCTTTACAAGCATACCATACAAATCTTATTACACATTTACACATATCTAATGCCCAAACTTTCATATTTACATAAATACCACTCAAGTCTCAAGCATTACATCAAAAATATCACATTTTCTTACATAAGTTTTAACATCAAAGTTTTATAAGTGCAAATATCAAACTTTAAGTTTTAGATATGTAAATACATAAGAATTGTGTGGTATGTATGTAAATTTCCCCCAAAAAAATCAGGATTAGTGTAACATTATATGAAACTTACCTCAAGGTCCCCTTGCTCGATCAGGTTCCCATTAGAAAGCAATACAGGATACAGAGTTTTATCTGCTTCGATTCTGCAGGTATACCTTGCCATGATATCAGGGCGATCCTAAAGAAGTAATTACATTAACAACAGCTGCCGCTTGGACAAAATGTTTTCAATAATAGAAAAAACTGGAGATAATTACAAGACACTAATAATCTAATTAATCCATAACCTAAGCGCCAAGGCCTTTTGTGGATCACTTTGTTTTTATTTTTACCTTCGCTTTTAAAACCATACTTACTTGGGACTTGCTTGGGATTAATTTTAGTTCTTGTCTTAGCTTTCTCTTTTATTTCTAAAATATGTTTGTTTAGTGTGTTTTTTTCATGTTTCTATTTTTTTTTGTTTATAAAAACAAATTAACATGTTTTTGGAAGACACTCGAAATAACTTTTAGGACTTTTGATTGTTTTTAAAAATAACAATAATATAATCAAAAAAGTCAAACATATTTTGCTCCAAATCAAAACAATAAACAAAACCAAATAAATATAAAGCATAGAAAATAAAAATAAAAGTGATGCTTTTTTACATGTTTCTATCTTTTGCTTTAAAAAAAAAATCAACTTTTTAAAAAGCACTTAAAACAACTTTTAAAAGTTCAAAGTGTTTTTTAAAACAATCAAATCTTATTTAGACATAGCAAACATGTTTCATTTCACCACAAAATATGAAAAGTAAATAAATAAAAGCAAAATATAAAATATTAAAGATATAAATGATCCCAAACAGCCTCTAAATGTCAAAAAAATTTGAGGATTTGAATCGCCAAACAATACCAATAAAAACTCTTTCCGTGAATTGCCAAAGTGAAATACATTAGAAGATTAGAAGCACGAGAAACCAAGTAAACTAACCTGATAGAAAGTGATCTTCCGAAACCCCTCAGCCTCACATTGCGTGCAGAAGTTGTCCTTCGTTTTGTAAAGTCCCTTAAAACACGAAAAGGAAATACAGCAAACATGGACAAAGCAATTGTAGAAAAAAGAGAATCCAAATATTTTATTTAAAAAAAATTACCTCCAATGACGTATTGCTTTGAGGGTATATCTCCGTTTCAATTTCCAGAATGAAAGTGGTAGTGGGTGGGGAGGACAATGTTAGATGACGTACATCCAAATCATAATCTTCTTTCTAAAACATGAGGACATATGCAGAATTAAATTTTTTTTGTATGAGAAAACATAGTTAAACGAGTAACTCGAATATTTAGTTCTATATCTAATATTTGTGCCTAAGCTTTTTTTGGAGTCAAGTTTCAAAATAGTCCTCTGCCTATTTACATGGGTCCATTTTAGTCCCGGAGTCTTATAAAAGCGCAAATTAGTCCCAATACTCTTTTAATATGTTGAAATAGTCCTCAAGAAGGATTATTTGGCTGTATGGAAGGATTGTGAACTGTCTTTCACGCTTTTAGCAACAGTTCAATCTTTCTCATACCACTCCCAAATATCATCATTAGAGGCCACAAAATCATTGATATTAAACATATTCAGACTAAAAAACACATTTTTTTAATTACAGAAAGAATAACAAACTAACAACTGATGATAAAAGCCAATTATGGTGTAAAAAGCTACTGATTTCCAAAGTCCATAAAACATTGATTTCCAATAAGACAGAGCCCTCAAAAGGTAAGAAGAAGCACAAAAAGAATACCTTTAATTCCTTCCCATCAACTTTAATTGATAGCAGCTTAAGGTCAACACCGTTAAGTACCAACGGATATGATGCACCTGAAATCACCAAATCAAACCTTCAGAAAACTTGAAGTATCCAATTTGAGTTAACTGGACAAATCAAACGAATATGTAATTTAGGTAGGAAATGCAAAAAGAAAAATGTGGTGGAATGAAAATAAATTTGAAAATTAAAAAAATCACTTTCCTTCAGTTCTTGGATATACAGAAATTTTTGAATGGACGAGTGCCTTGTCTTCACCAAGTATGAATTTCAAATCAACCTGAAAAAAATATTAAAAAAAATATATCAGGATATTCAGGATGTAAGCTGCTGGGGACGAAATTCAATGCAAAAAGTGAAGTTGATGATAAATTGGAAATGTGAAAAACAAAATAGAAAACAATAGTGGAGAACATAAAGTAAAATTGTTAACAGAGAAAACAAGAAATATAAGTTAACATGCAAGCAAATCAATGCTATCATTACACAAAGTAAGCATATTTGTTCTCAATCAGGGGCGGTTTTAGAAATTTATTAGATGTCCTTATATTTGATATATATGTCATGGCATGAGTATATTTTTCGAAAAACTTTCAAGTATTGCCCCCCTTAAGCATTATAATTAATTAAGCTGACATTTTTTGGAACTCTTTAATTCGCCTCAAAAATTCAATTAAAATTTAAGTTCAATATTCAACCCTGATTGATTGGAGCAGGCAAGAAAAAATGTCCAGCTTCAGAAAATCATATCACACATTTTATAAAATTAATTAATCTAAAGTATTTCTCCAATTCTTTATTGAAGCTTCACTACTTTCGCAAATCAATACCAGTTTGACTATAGATCCCTTTGCTATTTCCAATATGTAAAACTTTATGAAGATGATGTTTACCCATGCATTTTAGTAAAAATCATGTAAAGATTCTGTAGAATAATAAAGAAATCAAAAATTTGTTTTTGAAGTGCATCATGAATCTGGAAAATAAAAAATATGAAGAGAATTCACTTGAACATATACATTTTTTTATTAAACAAAATAAATATATAAAAAAAAAGTTGCCCTAAAGAATGATTAAAAAATGTTTCATAGTAATAGCTCCAGACATTCTAAAAGATATTACGAGAGCTGAATCAATTGGAATAACATATTTAATAATTAAGGAGCTTGGAGATAGTTTATTTTTAATTTCGATGAACGAATCTCATAATATATACACAAAAGAGGAACTTAGAATCACCATTAATTATCAAAAGCATAAAAAAAAGTAAGATAGTGTAAATGATATATTTTTAACAAATATCTAAAATAAGACCATAGTTTAAAAATGTACAATCAGGTATTGAGACAAATTTTGTCAGTGCGTCAAGGCATAAGTCTTGAGGCATTTTGCGGTGTAAGCCTCAAAATAAATAAACTACTTTGAGCTCTAAAAATTCGCACCCCATATTCCCTCGATATAATGAGAGAGCTTTAAGTAAAATTTTGGACAAATTTTTCAAAAAATATATTAGATAGAAGATAAAACACTACACAGAGATTTCACCATTATTTTGCAAGGGCTTCAAGATTAAGGCTTCAAGGTTTCTCATAGGCGCAAGCCACCATATTTAATGACCCCTCTCGATGAAAAAAGAGCACATTCGATCAAGGTTAGTCATTAGACTTAGGTTTAAGGTTAAAAAATTATGATCATAAGCTTAGAGCAGATGGTGAAAAGAATGATAATCAATCTAGATTAAATAGTTTCGATGTTTTGAGTTGTCATGGTCCCTAAGTTATTTAGTTAGAGGAGATAGTTGGCCCAACATAATATAAGAATCCATATCAACAACTATTGAGTTATTTCGTCCAAGAGAATCTTTTAGACATAGGGTGGATGTTTAAGGGGATAAATTCAAGTTGATCTTAACTAATATAGAATTTTGCGTCCTATCAAGTATAACCTACAATTCACCACTCAAAGAAGCAGAAAATCATTTGATAGCATACAGGTGATAGTAGTAATCATAATATAGTGGAGTTGTTGGGTCAAACTAACTGATTAAGGCTGTGTTTCGGGCAAGTTGTGCTTATCCAGATAAGCCACTTATCTGGAAACGTGGACTGCGGGGTTCAATCCGCTTTTCGCGTTTATTTTAAAAAAACCAACTGCGTTTTCAAATAAATTGCTCAAATGCAGTTTCAAACGGTGATGCGGTGTTTCAAAACGTCATCGCAGCGAATAAGCTGTCCCAAACGGAGCCTAAATGACTCTAGTCACAACTGCCACACGGACAAAGAATGTAGGTCAAATCCTTATTGCCACATATTATTTTGAATGTAAACTTAACAATATGCTCAAAAATTGTTTGGTTTGCTATAAAATGAATACAATGTAAAAGTAGAATATTGTGTTTAAAATATATTGAAGTTATTTGGTTCAGTGTAAAATAAAAACACGACTTAATAATTTGTTTTTTGGTTCAAAGAAAAATAAAATTAATGTAAAATGCATAACTAAAAAGTTGCAACGGCGACAGACGGCTCGCGATAAGTGGTGGTCTGCAGATCGCAACAAACAAAAGGCGAGTTGTGGTAAGCAATGGTAATGGGTTGGAGGCGGTGGCGACGGTGGCGGTAGCTATGAAGAAGATTATGGCGAGAGACGACGGGCAGTGGTGGAACGTAGCAAGTGGCGACTGGCGGCCGACGACCAATAGCGTAAGCAACAATAGCACAAGGCAGCATGTGAGCAGTAGCTGATAGTAACATTGGACAAGTGACGAATTGTCACGACTCGACTCGAGCCATGAAAACAATAAGGGAACGAATGGCCAGATTGTGTGAAATAAATTTTTTATATTAACTTTCAATTTAACAGATAAAGCGATATACGATCTAAATTAAAGTGATACAGCTAAAATTTACCTTGTTGATAGTTATTCGTGTCTTCTAAAAACGTTTTTTCGTCTATCAGTCATCTTTTAATAATTTAATTAAACCTAAAAAGTTAGTTAAAACAACTATGAGCTAAACGAGCAAGTGAATATTCACACTCATAAACTACAGTAATTACAAGGAAGAAATAAATAATATGCATGTCAGCTAAACTGTTTAAAAAAATCAATACAAATATTTCATGTTATTCAAAAGAGTCTTACTTTACCAATAAAATATCAATATCATTTCATACTATACAATCGTTACAGAAGGTACCGTCTAAAAAATTGTGTCAATTAAGACGCATCAATATCAATATCAGTTTACATTTATGTGCATGGGTGCATTAGTGGTCCCCCCTAGTACCATTAAGATGTGTTCTATCATAGTCAGTTATGCACATACAAGCAATCAACACAAACATGTTCATTCAATCATACTATATAAAACATACACTAAAATACATGAGTAAATAACGACAATATTCGCAATCATATAACCAATAAAGAAAAGAATAACTCAATCAGAATAAAAAATCCACAAATAACATCAACCGCAACCATATTTGAGAAGAAAAAAATTATTACTATAATTTAAAAGTACAAACACTAATTTCGATGTCCATTAATTTGTTTTGACTTCGGTTCATCTAAAATTGAATGAATAAAATAAACATGATATTCATAATATATTTTAATTTATTTATTATCTTATTACAAATTTAATAACTTTTTTTTATTATCACATTTTTATTTTTTAATTAATAATATATGTATATATATATATAATATTATTATTAACATTAATAATAAGATTATTATTATTATTATTATTATTAATGATTGCCTTTAACCAATAAGATTGAATTTAATTAATATAAAGTTCCTATAATAAATTATAATAACTCAAATTATTAAGCAAGTTCCCTTACTCCCCTCTCTTGTGCCCTAGATCACTCGAACTGAGGAGCATGGCTCGGTCGAGCCTTTACTTCATGCAGGAAAGCCAGTTCCAGGCACCTACAACTGCGAGAGCCCTCCTCTCCCTCCTTCCTGCTCACGAATGACCCAAATTGAGAGCCTGGTCTACTGCACGAACTCACCTCTTCTTGTCTTTCTTTTTCTCTGCATGACAACCTCGTTGATTCCTCCTTTGAGCTCGATAGAGTCATCGTCGCCAGACAACAATGTCACCCCACTTATCCTCCTTTGTCGGATCGTTTGTCAAGTTCGAGTGTGCAGGAACTCCCGCACTCTCTGCCTCTGCATGACAACAGAGTTGCCTCCTTCATACCCTCGCATCGTCTTCCTCTCCTTCGCATGTCGTTGAACCCACGGGTAAGTCAATTTTTATAGGTGAAATCTCCTCCTAAACTTCTGACCCCTAGATTCCTCTCGCTCTGTTCGGTTGCCCCGACTCTTCACTTCGTCTTCCTCACTTCTTCATTTCCACTTCCGTCTGTTTGTCTTTTCTTTTTCGATTCTACTTTTTGCCTCCCCAAAGTTGAAACGATTCACCACACGAATAGTAAAGACTGTTAGTCAAAGACCAATGGGACACAGCTGCTGCAAGTAGTGGTCGATGGGTGAGCAGCGGGCTGCAATTGTTAGTGACAAGTCGACTATGGAGAGCAACATTTTACACAAAACATTGTATATAAAATTCGTTCCGATCCAATGAATTTCAAATACAATGAAAATGAACTAAAGAATGAATTCCAAATGCATTGTAATTTTACACTATTAGTAAGTCATCGAGTGAAGCACACAATTTTTGAAGGTCCTACAAAAGTAATGTAGTGCACTCCTTTTGCAACAGCCACACAGGCCTAACAAAAGACATCAGTTTCGTGCGAGCTAAGGTTGAGGTTGAATTTGTCAACCTTGATAAACTAGGATAAACAAGTGCAAAAGAATTGATGAAACTTGCTTTTAAGTTTTATATTATATATTTTATTTAAATATTTTTTATATTTTATTATTCAAAAATTTGATCTTATGAATAGACTCGTCCATTTACGATATGCATTTACCACGTCAACACAACTATCATCACAATTTTTTCAAGCATTCCTATTATTCATAATTGTAATGCCAATCAAAATTTATCACTTAAATATCAACAGGGCATCAAACTTGTCAACTTCTCCAAAGAAAAGGATCGGAGTGACTCAGTGGATTCAGTTTTTTTAACTCTAATTCTTGTCAGAAAAAGGATCAGCCTGAAAGGAGAGAAGGGTTTGGAAGTGAATTAAGCTAACTTGTAGAGGCTACAACCATTGATGTTGCTCGTAGTCTGCAAGAGTGAAGCAAGGGCTAGGTTTCTTGTGACCTAGAGTGAGAGAAGGGTGTCAAACAAAAGTGGAAGATGTGATGGCTTGGAGCAATAAGTCAACAAATTGTGGTACATGACCAACCCCAAGAGAGAGCTAACAGAGAAATATGAGGAGGGTTGTGGTCATAGGATAGGTAGCTAAGGGAGTAAAAAGCGGAGTTAAAGAATGCAGGGAAAGCAAGGCAGGATTTAAAGTTTCAAACTTGGCAATGGGATGAGAGGGGAGACGGCAGGTTTTTGTGCATGTGAGCTGAGAGTAGATGTTTGGTAGGGCACACCGCAACTTCTTGTTCTGTGCAAAAGGGAGAAACAAAGGGAGTATACAACATAAGGAGAGGGAGTAAAAAAGAGTAAAAGACCGTGAGGAGAGTCGTGGCAGTCAGTTTTGAGTAGCACGAGAGGTCACAGAGGAGGAAGACATGTATTTTATCTGCAAGTAGAGAACATGGAAGGAGTGAGAGATGTTGGATTGCCTAGAAGACGAGATGGTGATGGGTAAGTATTAGTCTCTTTTTTTTTTCTATTTTGTCTTTGTCTTTTCCTGCGAGACAGGACAGAAGCGAGATGGGTTGGAGTTACCATCTACTATAGAGTGCAATCCAAGATTTTGTGGCTAAGGCAAGGAGAAGATTTGATAAAAAATTTTAATTAATTATTCTTTAAAAAATAGTGATACTTAAAATTGAATTATTAATGTATTTCTTTATCATCATATATTTCCATGTCTCTCGTATTTCCCGTTTTGTGAGTTGTCTCCTTGTGCACATGGATGGACACATGCAATATGAACATCCTTTCTATAAAATTCGGAAGTTTTGCACATACTCATGTAGTCTAATTTATGAACAGGCATTGTTTGAGCAATTTCGTCAGTGAATGAGACATTTCAGTTTTGATCAATCGGCATATCATTCATCATCCTCAACTTTCATCGAGAATGATCAAATCGTCTCATGAGAAAGTTGTGGAGGTCTATAATTGTGCAAAGCAAGAAACAATATACGAAGTTTAAAATATAGAATAAGAAATAACATATAAACATCATAGTCTAATGTACTATTTTAGCATCCTAATAAAATAAAAATAACGAACGGTTCAAAGTAAGAAACAACATGTTAACGTCCAAATATTAAATTACAAAATAATAAAGGTTATACAAACATCGAAGTAAGACATGATAATATAAACATTCAAAATAAGTTTGGTATAATTAGTATCTCTCCTAATATTTTCATTTATTGAAATAAGACAATAGCAAACAACTAAGGTTAGAATTTTTAAATTCAAAAACCTTCATGGCAGTTATTTCTTAATAAGCCATCATTAGAACCATCTGCATAACAATTTACTAGCTCCCTCACTTCGATCCTCAATGATATACATATTCTCTCATTCTTCGTCTTAAATTTCAATCATCTTCCTCTTATTTAATGAATATCATTAGATTTTAAGATAATGACTACGTTGTTAGCAACAATTTCAATTACATCCTCAATGTATATCATATAAATAATTAGATATATTAATTAGGATTATTTCTTTATTTACTTTAGAAGAAAACTCTAACTCTAATTGTTATTTCTCATTAAAACTGGGCAATACACACCTCACATTATGCGAGACATAAGCCTCATATAATATTGAATGAGGCGTAAGCTTCATTATGAATATTTTAAAAAATTATTGAGATGAGCCTTAAAATGGACTTCATATTGTGAAATTTTAAACCACAAATAAGACTATAATATATAATATCAAGTGTGACTACTTAATTAACAAAGTTTATTTATTTTGCGAGCAACATCACATTGTTATTCCCATAAGGGCAATAAATGGGTAGCTCATGAAAGTTCTCATCATAGAGTTCAAAACATAACAAATTTATAGCATTATTGAGTTGAAATTTTCAGCACAGCTATTGATATATAACTTTAAGTGTTAAATAATATCATTTTACAAAGGCAAATATTGAATTGCTTTTATAGGTTGCATGCTTGACCCCAAATTGCCCATTCAATAAATTAAAAAAAAAATTAATAAGAAATTACACATCTTAATAAAAATAATTTTCATCCAATGGATATAATGATTTTTATAATCACTTTAAAACTTATATTATAAATATTCAACTGATGCACAACTTTATACCTTAAAAGGCCCCGAAAGCCTTACCAAAAAAAAAGGTCCAAAGAATGAATGCTACTTTATATTCCATGTTTTTAATAGCAATACTTTTTAGTACAAAAAGTGTTGAAAGAGGTTTTCTACTTTGAATATTATGAAGAACTAACTATGAAAATAAATTGGATATGAATGGAAGAGTGATAATTTAGCCACTTAAATTAAAAAAGAAATATTAGACAATAAAGACAATGAAATAATCATTCAACGTTTTCAAGATATGAATAGTAAACAATCTCAATTACATTTTTTTTTAGCATAATATATTTTATCATATATTATTAACATATTTAACAATTTTTTTAAAACCATCAATATTATTCCTAAGCCTGTATGAAAAAGATCAATCGGTGCACCCGCTATAAAAATTCATGGCTCCACCCACCTAGCCCAAACTTAAAGGCATTTTCAAGCTTTAATTTATGATTTCACCCACAAAGTAGTCATATAAAGAGCAAACCTACCAAGGTTCATCATTTTGAATGCCTGACTTCCTCAAAAGTGGCACTAATGCAAAAAAGTGATGCAAAATGCCGCCAATACGCAAAGTAAGACCCACCAAGCCTTATCACTATAAAGTCACAAAACAAGATTGACCGATACAAATCTTCATATAACCCACAAGTTGAGAGAAAAAATTGCCGAACTAACCAAAAGAAATACTGCAAAAAACAATCACCTGACTTTAGAAAATGTTTTCCTACGCTTTCATATACAAATCACTAAAGAAAAAGCTAGAAAAAGAAAAGAAAAATGAACAATATTCAACTAAATATCTACATCCAAAATGCAAAATGAAAAAAAAAAAAACTAAATACCTACATCCCAAGAAATTAACAATATACCACCGAGTAAAATTGTCACAATATACCACCGAGTAAAATTGTCACAATGCTAAGCTTTAAGAGTAAAGTGTCAAAAGAGTCCCCGACTATTACATAGAGTCGTTTTAGTCTCAAATTTTATAAAAGAGCCCCCATGGTATTAGAACTCAATTTTAAAATATTCAAGGACAATTTTGGCACTTCTATAAACTCTAGGACTAAAACGGTGCCATATAAGTAGTCAGGGAGCTTTAATAATAATAGAATTGTTAAAATGTATACAATGAAAACCTACAACACTATCATGAAAATGTAGCAACAAAAGAACAAGTACTGGAAACAGTTATCTAAATTACAAAATGGAACATAAACTAGTATGTGCTGGACTTTCATATGAAAATAAAATAGAGTACAATAAAAAGGACTGAGTATCATACCGTATCAAAATAATAATCAGGTATCTTATAGTTCTTTAAAAATATTTCTTTCGGGGTATCCATCTTCAATTCTTCACTCTGTGCAGGAAGGGGTTGTGTGGCTACTGAACAAATAAACTTTTTGTTGGCTGCCCTCTGGAATAAAAAATAATCATTCACTAAAAAAACTAAAAAAGAAATTTATATATGAAGCATATAATTCTTATTTACTTACATATTTCACACATAAACTTTCATAGTTACCATAAAGCACTTTGGTGCTTTCAACCTTTGCATAAAAAAAGTTATATTTGACTTTAAAGAAATGGTGATAGCCATATATTTTATGTGATATTAAAGATTTGTTATGTGTGTAAATATAAAATTTTAGGTGTAAGATGTGTAAATACATAGAATTTTGTGCTATATATGTAAATGCCCCAAAGTAAAAATATATTCCACGATCCATCATGAATAACATAGGAAAAAGGGATGGCAAAAAATGGGGGATCTTGTTGCATCTGAGGAATCAAAAGCATATATTTTGATTTTAGTAATCATAATCTATAACCATATACTAATTTTAACAGAGAGAAAAAGTTTCCCTTGTAATTATAAAACAAGAAAGTTTCACTTTGAAATGGGCTTTTCTTAAAATTTATAAAGTACAAAATTTAAAACATTGTAACAAAAATTCAATCAAATGTTTCCAAATTTTGAAAAAGAAAGAATGCCAGAAGGTGGGAAGTAGGCAGCCGTTTAGCAGTAACAAAAAAGTGGGTTATTGCTAAAGGGTGAAATGCAAAATTGCTCGCTATCATCATCTAATAAATGAAAACCAGAGCCCATGATTGACATTTCTCACTTTAGTGAAGGGTATTTAGGAAAATTTCAAGTACCTAGCAGCATTGGGCCCAATATGTACTACAAAGACTTCAGCTTAAAATGCAAATCAATTATATAAATGCATTGTTTAACGTTTCTACTGTATGATCTCACATCAAAACCATAAATATTCGCATAATGTAAATATACAAATTATGGTAGAGAAACAAAACAGTCAATCAAATAATGAATAACGCATTTGCTGCAATGATTGAAGGAAAATATCAATTTTTCATTATCTTACTGATGGAAAAGAAAATAATGTTCTCCTCCTAAGCACACCCTACAAAAAAAAAGGAAGAAGTAAGATCGAGGAATTCCATTAGAGATGAGTTCAAAAGGCAAAGGATCGTCATGAAAAAATAAACCAGAAAATGACATCAATAAACATTATAATAGAAAGATGCATAACAGAGTGCTAAAACAGTTGATGGAACTTTATAAATCTTACCTCCTGGGTGAGACGAAAATTACTTCTGAAAATTTTTTTCTCTTGATATTGTAAAGTACAATGACACCGACTATCCCAGACCTATAAAGAGTGGTCGAGACAAATAAAGGTTATAAAAATTTCAACAAGAATTGAACATGAAATGGCAAAAGAATAATGAAGAGGAAAATCTTGACACAGTAGTCTAAGCTATTCTAATCCAAATTCCACATAATAGTTAGATTAAAGTATGTGGCATCATTGCCTATTGTCATGCATAACAACCGATAATATAAACATAAGGAAGATTTACATACATACCACTCAAATACTATGTATTTACATATCTAATACCTAAATTTCAATTTTTACATGTCTATGCATGAGAAGTGAATTTCATTTTTTAAAATTTAAAATGATGATATTTTTGATGTGATATGAAAGAGGCATACATGTAAAAAGTAAAGTTTAGGTGTTAGATATGTAAAAGTGTAAGAATTGGGTGGTATGTATATGAATGTCCCATAAAGATTAAGACAAGTGATAAAAGGTCAAAATAGGTCTTTCTTCTTAGATCCTCACAATCACACAAATATAAAGCAATGAACGGGCCTCATAATGACACGCCAAGGGCATATAGAAAAATGGAGAATTACAAGGTACACCTCTATGAAACCTTTACACAACTAAATCTATATATTATTCGAAGATATAAATCAGAACATATCTAAATGCACACCCAATTCAACTTCTAATAAAAGGGGACCTTCACATACATACCACTCAATCCTTGTATTTACATATCTAATACCTAAAATTTGCTTTTTACATTTCTACCCCCGAAATCTTTCATATCACATAAAAAAAACCACTAATTTAACTTTTAAAAAGTGAAACACACCATCTCATGCAAAGTTAAGATGCCATATATGTAAAAAATGAAGTTTTGACGTTAGATATGTAAATACATAGGAAATGAGTGGTATGTATGTAAATAAAGTCACAGTAAAATCTGCCGCAACATCATAAATTTACACAAAAAGCAAACATAAACGCTTGAACATTTCAAGCCAAATATTAATCTAACAACTACAGAAATATACAAACAGAGTTAAGATGGGCAAGGTGTAGACCAGAACTAAAAAGAGATAGAATTCAAAGATTGCAATTGAAGAAGTACGCAAAAAAGAAAAAACAAAACACAAAAAAAATGATTCAGGAATGGAGTTTTAGGGTTTAATCAAATAGCAAAAGGATTGGAAAGAAGGAGACAGCAGCAGAACAAGAAACAGGGCAGTGCAATAACATTTTTGGACGAAAGCAATCCCAAAAAACCCCTCTTCGTCAAACTTGAAACTTTGCTGGGAAGAATCAGCCGAGCCATTCAGCCAAAACCGATCCCTTCAAGTTCTGAAAGAAGATCAAACCATTCTAAATTCTCATGGAGCCAAAGCAAGAAAATATGAAATCGGAAAAGATGGCCATAAGAATCAGCAGAACTTAACCCTAGGGGGGCAACTAGACAGGGTTTTTTACCATAAAATGTGGATAAATAGAATGATGGACGAGAAAATTCCCAACTTATTGAAAAAATTCGATGAAAAAACATTCTTAAAGATTAAAAATAGGTGATTCTATTGGAATACAAGGAAAAATGGATCAAAATTGTTTTAAGGAAAAATGGATCAAAATTGAAATTGTTTTTTTTTTTTTAATCAGATTTACCTTATGATCGGATTGAACACAGAAGCGGGAAAAGATTCTCACACTGGAGCCGGAGAACAGAGACGTCTTCCGAGGTTTTAAATAGCTGACTAAACATTTATTTTACGTTTTAAAAATTGTATTTTTGCCCGCTAGAAAAGCTTTATTTACGGCAGTACCGTGGCCGTACGAGGAGGGACTCTCCCTGGCTTCCAAATTGGCAAGACTCACGTACGGTAAAATTAATATTAAAAAATGATATATTTATGAAATATAAAATAATATATTTTAGGGAGTAAAAATAGTTGGATGATTCATATGATAATATATAATTATTTTATAATAAAAATATTTAATATCTCTAATCAATTTCTAAACTTTTTTTATTTTATTTTTTTTAATATATTACATCAAAAAAATATCTTATGAATTAATACAAATATCGGTTAATAACACTCTATTTTAAATTAATTATTAAATATGTATTCCTTTATTTAAACACATTTTAAATATTTTAAATAACTATTATTATCTGTAATAATGAAATACAATTGATTTAGGGTTCGTTTAGGACAGCTTATTTGGTATGGTGGTGTTTTGAAAACGCACTTGGAATGTTTGGGTAAACTGAGTTTTGGCAGCTTACCGCACTTATTTAGGTGCAGTGGTAGCTTTCTGACAGCGGTCTAATTTTTTTCAATAGTCACCGCACGTAGCTTATCATAAGATTATTTTTATTCAGCTTATCAGCAGATTATTCAATAAGTTACAGCCGCCCCAAACTGACCATTAATTATCAAGGAATAAATTATTAAAAATTGTTGGGAATCCTATATTCATTTATAAAATTCTCTATTTATTTATTCTTAACACTCTCAACAACCTCTATATTATTTTCTACCATTTTTTTTTTTTTTGCATACATATCACACAATTCTTATTATTTACATATCTCACATCAAAATTTTTATATTTATATATTTAGCATTTTGGTTTCATAAAACAATATTGTGACGGTGTATTTAATTTTTCAAAAATATATAATAAGGTTACTTTTATTTAGTATTAAAAATTTTGAATATTATCCATATAAATATGAAAATTTAGACTTCGGATATGTAAATGCATGAGAACTGTGTGGCTTAAATGTAAAAATCCCTTTTTTTTGTAATATTTAAAACAAATTAAAAAAAGTAAAGCTATAAATTGAAGTAATATTAATATATTTATTTTACTTTAAGTATGTAATAAGTAATGTTTTGTAAATATTTTTTACAATTATAGCTACGTGCGGTAAGCGGGTATTTGGATTATATTTTTACCTTGCCCTATACGGTTGTACTAAAAATGGGAAAAAATATTATACCAGGACTCCGCACGTAGAGTTAAGTGTGGAGTCCAATGAAATCACGTCACGTGGCGATGATAAAAAAAATAAAATGTGTCCGGTAACACAAGAAAATATTTTTCATGTGTTATTGATATGTTATTGTGTGTTATTCAAATGTTATTAATGTGTTAGTGTGTTATTGTAATACCAGGAATATTCCCAGAACACAATAACACATGAATAACATACAATAACACCTGAATAACACAGGGGGAATATTCTTCTATGTTACCAAGCCGATTAATTTTTTTGTCACCGTGATTTCATTGGACTCCGCACGTAACTCTACGTGTGGAGTGTTGATGTAATATTTTTTCCTATTTTTAAGGGAAATTTGAGTGTGTGACATCTAAAATTTAATATTTATATTTATTACGCTTAGTTACAAATAACACTTGGAAGATTTACATACAGACCTCCCAATTCTTATGTATTTAGATATTTAACACCTAAATTTTAATTTTTATAATTATAACACCTTATTGATGCATAAAATGGTGTATTTCATTTTTTTTAAATGAAAATATTGATATTTTTTAATGTGAAACGAAAAATTTTGCATAGTATAAATGTAGAAAGTAAAATTTCTGTATTACATATGTAAATATATAGGAATTGGGTGGTATGCAGGTAAATGTCATAAATAATTTTTTTTATGAGATGATAAGGATCTTTAGTGTCTAATATGTAAATATAAAAGTTTAGGTGTTAGTCATCTAAATATATAAGAATTGTGTTATATGTATGTAAATTCTCCTTAAATTAAAATGAAGATTTGCATCATATCATACAATTCCTATGTATTTACATAACTCCTATGTATTTACATAACGAACACTTTAATTATTTTTACAATGATACCATTTTAAAAATATCATACAATTCCCGGTCACGTCGGCCGACGAAACGGGGCGCCTGCTGAGATTTTTGGCTTGATCACGCTTATATTGCGGCGTCATTATGTCGTAGCCTCTGTTTGGCTGGCGTGACCACATGGATTTAGAACAGTTTCAACCCATCTCGATGAATCTCCGCTCATCTGCTTCAAATGCAAATCTCAAATAGCTATTAATGTAAGCATTGTCCTGATTGAAGTGTCTGACCACAGGAGAAAATATTTCATCATAATCTACCCCTTTTTGCTGTGAAAATTCATTTGCTACCAATCGAGCCTTCAACTTTTCCCCTTCTTTTTCTGATACTGTTGGTTTCCTTTTGTACACCCACTTGCACTCAATAGTTTTCTTTCCCTTAAGAAACTGAACTAGCTCTCATGTGTGATTTTTTTGCATAGACTCCATCTCCTCAACCATTGCACCCATTCATTTCTCTTTCTTCTGGCTAGTGATAGCTCCTTGAAAAGTTGTTGGATCATCGTTGCTGATGAGAAGTGCACAAAAGACCAAGTTTTCATAACCCAATCTGCTAGGATGCCTTATATTGGTGTGTATTTGTCTGTCTCTGACTAGATTATAATTCTGCAGATCATCTGAAATGGAATCACCAGGCGTTATATTTGTACCTTCAACTCTCTCAGTTGTTTCCAGTTGTTTCTGGAGTTGTTTCTGGATATTGTTCTAAATCCATCTGCACTGCATCTGAACTGGAACTGTTCTCTGACACATTGTCTTGATTCTACTGCAGTATAGACTGTTCATCAAAAACTACATCTCTGCTGATCACCATCTGACTGATAGCAAAGGGATTTTCACAGCAGAAGAGGAAAGATTACAATGAAATCTTTTCTCATGTGGTCAGACATACTTCAGTCAGGACAGTGCTTGCATTATTAGCTATCTGAGACTTGCATGTGAAGCAGATGAATGTTAAAACTATTTTCTTGCATGACGATTTGGAGGAGCAGATTTACATGGAGTAATCAGAAGTGTTCACTCAAGCTGATACTCAAAATTTGCTCCTGATTTGCAGATTAAAGAAATCGTTGTATGGGTTGAAA